TTTTTTTTAGAAACCCTTCGTATTCATTGAAGGATTGTTTTTGGAGGAAAATGTTACAATCATATTTTTTGTTTACTTAATGATCTATATAAATCCTCAAATATCTCTAGATCTTTCATTTTACACAACAGAAACAACATTCTACTATAAATTCAACTACAAATAAAATCATCCGAACAACACAATGTGCAATTTACTACATGTGTAAACAACTAACAATAAATACATCCTTTATTTTTTCAGTACCTCTTACTGATTCTATAATCAGCTGGTTTAAAAGTATCGGTCACAAAATCGCGAACGACAGCACGTTGTAACTGTAAAGAGTGAGAATTTTATTAAGACTAGATTTTCTAATATTTCTATTATTTCTATATATATATATTACATACTCTTGGTGATGCAAGTGATTTGATTTCTTCAACATCTGAATTACTAACAACATCATGAAAAAGAAAAATAGCTGGTTGATCTAATAATTGTTCTTCTTTAACAGGACGTAAAATAAGAGATGGATGATTATTATGACGATAACGACAAAATAATTTTGCTTGACGTTTTGGACTTAACTAGATAGAATAAAATTCTACAAGACTATTCCGAAATATATTTTTCATTTTACTTGTGTTCCATTTTGTCGACAAAGTTTTTCATACATTTCACGTTCTTCCATATAATCATCAGGTCGTGCATTATTTATTTTATAACTTTTCGTTTGTGAAACTGTCGGAAGTAATTTTAAATTTTGTTTATCATTCGTATTCACATCACCTTTACGTTGTTGTTTAGTTAATGTTCGATTTTTTATTACACTTTCATAATAAACTTTATTATTATTTGCACGAACATGATCCGGAGCTAGGAAAATTCAACTATATTTTATTTTTAATGAAAAAAGAATTAATTGTTATTTACCAATTGTAAGCATTTCTTCAGTTACTGCTAAAGCATGTTCAACATTTCCTTGCTAAAAATATCAAATTTAATTAACAATAAAGAGAAAAAAATCTTGTGTTTTACTTGTGATGTTGCATAAGCAAGATGATCTAAGATATCAATTTTATTTATCGATGTTTTATTAGTTTCTTTATTTAGATGATCGAGCGCTTCTTGCATCCACATTAATGTATGATAAAAGTCTCCATTTGTGTATGCAACACGTCCCAAATCAAAACATTCCAAGGCTATAAACAAATAAATCATAGAACAAGCGATAAGGAAATTTTTATTCGACTAACCACTCAATTCTTTTGATTTAAACTTTTTACTTATTTCACCATTCGCTAATTGACTTGTATTTAATTTATATGTATCTTGTAAACGCATTAATCCAATAGCAGATCCTATTTCATTTACAAGATGAAACATATTTCGCAAAAACAATATATCATTAGTCATTTACCTGTATAATCTTCAAATGATGGAAATAACGCATTGGTACCAAATTTCTGTGAAAAATCTAAAGAAAAGATTCATAGATGATCAAATCAAATTATTTTTATAAAAATTAGTTATACTAGCAGGTAATAATTCTTCGATATTATACCATTCGGCTGTTAAATGTTTGATAAATAAATATGAATTAACTGGATTACCAAAATAATATTCTTCATTTCCTTGTGCTTGTCGAATTTCATCTTTGATTACATTTACAAATCTTTACAAAAATGACATATATATATACATATATATCAATTTATTTGTATATTTACTTTTCTACTTGATCTAATCGTTCGTATTCTTCTTTTAAATATATTTCTAAGTTTTTTGCTAATAATATTTCAGTTTTTAATAATTGAGTTAAATGTGTTGTTGATGTGAACGATTCACTATGAATTAGAATTGATTTGAGAAGAATTAAAAAAACAAATTGTATAGGGAACATCTTTTCTTGCAAAATCTATAAGAATAATAATTAAGGATAGATTTATATGATTGAAAACGTTACAACCATTGAAAAACAAACTAAATATATATATATATATATATTATGTAAGGAAAAGATACAAAGATGCGCTTCAGGTTCAATAGTATCTGTTAATGATGATCGTACGATTTTCTTCCTTTCTGACCGTCAACCGATGCTTACAAATATAACGCCCTTTTCCTTCTCATTTTTCCTTAGAACAGAACATATAGACTATGTTTGTGGATTGATGTATTATTTGATAGCGAAAGATATCTAGACTAACTTGAAACGATCCTATTGGATTATATTTGCACAAATCAAATTTCAATAAGTATCCTCCTTTATATATGAATTGTATTTTTGTTTTTGTCGAATTTCTTTTCGTTATGATTCAAGGATTGAATAATATTTTTTACTTATCCTGGCCAAAAACTAAACCTTTCGTATTCTTGATGCAATTTATGATAAAGAATATTCTAGAACAACGAACAAATATTTTTCTTTTCGTTCTGTGTGTTTTTTCCTTTGTGCACTTCTGTCTATACACTCATACATCCTCTGTGTCACTATTATTCTCGTGGTTTCTCCAACATTGCACAATAACACAAGGTGATTCATTGTTGTTCGACACTGCAATATAAATACACTGCATTTTCTCAGTTTATTTCATTCATTTCTATTAATCCTATCGTTTACTTGTTAATACAAACCAATCATGCAAATTTTCGTCAAAACTCTTACTGGTAAAACAATCACATTGGAAGTTGAACCAAGTGATACAATTGAAAATGTTAAAGCAAAAATTCAAGATAAAGAAGGTATCCCACCTGACCAACAACGTCTCATTTTTGCTGGTAAACAACTTGAAGATGGTCGTACATTAAGCGACTATAACATTCAAAAAGAAAGTACTCTCCATCTTGTACTTCGATTACGTGGTGGTATGCAAATATTCGTCAAAACTTTAACTGGTAAAACAATCACCTTAGAAGTTGAACCAAGTGACACCATCGAAAATGTTAAAGCCAAAATTCAAGACAAAGAAGGTATTCCACCTGATCAACAACGGTTAATCTTTGCTGGTAAACAACTCGAAGACGGTCGTACACTCAGCGACTATAACATCCAAAAAGAAAGTACACTTCATCTTGTACTTCGACTTCGAGGTGGTATGCAAATATTCGTTAAAACACTTACTGGTAAAACAATCACATTAGAAGTCGAACCAAGTGACACCATCGAAAATGTTAAAGCTAAAATTCAAGATAAAGAAGGTATCCCACCTGATCAACAACGTCTTATTTTTGCTGGTAAACAACTCGAAGACGGTCGTACACTCAGCGACTATAACATTCAAAAAGAAAGTACATTACATTTAGTTCTTCGATTACGTGGTGGTATGCAAATATTCGTTAAAACTTTAACTGGCAAAACAATTACACTTGAAGTCGAACCAAGTGATACCATCGAGAATGTTAAAGCCAAAATTCAAGACAAAGAAGGCATTCCACCTGATCAACAACGTCTTATTTTTGCTGGTAAACAACTCGAAGACGGTCGTACACTTAGTGACTATAACATCCAAAAAGAAAGTACTCTCCATCTTGTACTTCGACTTCGAGGTGGTATGCAAATATTCGTGAAAACACTTACCGGCAAAACAATTACACTTGAAGTTGAACCAAGTGATACCATC